CAAAAAAATTAAACTTATTTTATAAAAAAATAGAATTGAATCAAATTAGTATATTTAATTGAATTGATTGAAAATCAAACTACTTCGATCAGTTTGATTGATTTCAAAATACCAAAATGCAATATAAGCTTTTTACCATAGTTTATCAAATTTTAAGATAATATATAAAAATAAATTTTAATATATTCAAGTAAATTCAAAAATAATTAACAGTTCAAATTTATTAAGATTTATATTTGATGTATTAACCTCATCAAATGTTACCACTTTATTAATAAAGTAAAATTAAAATTTATAAAAATTCAAAATAAATATTAATAATTTTCTTTAAAACATACATAAAAAATTAAAAAAATTATTTTTTCTCTCTCCAACTCCCCACAACCTCCTTTTTCTTGTTTTCCTTTTTTTTATCTCTCTTCAACGCCATCTTCTCTCTTCTCTCTTTTTCTTTCATTAAAATTAGATTTAATAAAATTGTGTAACCTCAAGAGCATAGGATAATTAAATATTTCAAGAAAATTTTTACTTGTTGACTTTAATGATATATTTTTTAAATGACTTCTACATTTGAATTTTTATTCTTTCAACCAAAATCTAAAATCCCTTACCAAATTCCTCAATCTCCCTTAGGGTTTAGCGATTTCCCTTGGGTTTCATAAAGATGCAATATTTTGATTTGAATTCATTTTCTTTCATCAAAAACCCAAAATCTCCTTACCAAATTTCTTAACTTCTCTTAAGGTTTTAGCAATTTCTCCCTTTTACGCTTTTGAAAAAAAAAAATTATTTTGGATGCATGATATGTGAAGAACAAGAAAAGAGTCAAGGAGATTTAGAGAGAAAAGTAAAAACATTTTATTTTTTTAGAAACTTTTTATATTTAATTTTTAAATTTTTTTAGTTTTACTTGGTTAATAAGATGGTAGAGCAATTAAAGGCTTGTTAAGTAAGCATTGGGAGGTTAGTATAAGTCATATATACAAGGAAGGGAACAAAATTACCGATTTTATGACTAATATGGGGTTTGAGTTAAATTCTGATTTTTTTTGTATGACTATCCGCCAGAAAAGGTGTTCTGCCTACTCCAGGGGAGTCTATACTCCATGTTTGATTAATTAATAAATTCCACTTTAAAAAAAATTGTACATTTTAAATACATCAAATATAAACCCAAATTATTATCCAATAAAGTAAAAAATATCTTATATATATAAGACTAAAGTTTTAATAATGATTAAAAGACTTATCCAGTCCCTATACTATTATATTTTGTTCAATTTAGTCTTTATATTCAAAATCAAAACAATGTAATTTTTTAATTTTAAAAATTTGATCAATTTAGTCTTTTTTTTAATTTTGTCATTAAAAGATGACGTTATTCCTTACATCAGCATTGACGTGTCACTTTTTGATGACATGACATTAAGATGATGACGTACTCCACGTTAAATAAATTTTAAATTTTTATATTATTATAAATAGAAAAAAAAATTTATTTAGTCATTTAATATTATTTTATTTTAATTTAATACAAGTTATTCATTGAAATTTGACTTCAAATATGAAATTTTTTTAATTTTTTTATAGAAGGAGAATTAAACTTAATTTTTATAAAAAAGGATAAATTAATTTATATATTTTAGAATTAAATAATCAAGTAAGAAAACATATATATTTTTAACAACATAAATTTTTTACACTTAAATATTTAACTTATTAATAAGTATATCAATAATTTATTTGAAGATTTATATTTTTTAATTTTTTTTCAATTTAATCTCTCAATATTTTAATTTTATTTAATTTAATCCTTGTAATATATATATTTTTTCATTTTAATCATATGACGTGATAGAATTTTTTTTAAAAAAAACTTTTTTGATCTATCACGTGACATTATTATGTCATCGTATAGTGCCATGTGGCATGCCATGTCCATCTCAATAATATACTATCAAAAAGTGACATGCTAATGTTGATGTCATCGTTAACGTCAACGATGATGTTATTTTTTAATAAAAAAATTAGATATTATTAATGAAAAAGATTAAATTGACGAAATTTTTAAAATCAAAAGATTAAATTATTTCGATTTTGAATACGAAAATTAAATTAAACAAAATTAAAAAATATAAAAACTAGATAAGTTTTTTAACCTTTTAATAATTGGCAGCTAACTTAGTTCAGTTTATTTGATTGTGAATTTTACCAAAATTCAAACTGAACATCCCAAATTAACTGAACACTCTAAACCGAACATCTTAAAGAAGCAAAAAAATTCAAACTCACTTTGCTTTGAACATTTTTTTGGATTCGGAATGGTTTTGACGCCCCTACCTGTCATTTGCCCCAATTAACTAACAAATACTTTGTATATCGAAATTAAATGACGAGTGTGTATAACTTTTCACAAAATTGAAGACTTCCAGGACAAATAAACACTATATTTGTAAAAATAAAAAATAAAAAATAAAGACATTTTATTCAACGTCACAAAGCAAATATCTAAAATTTGCTTGGTTGAACTTCCGTTGGCTACTTAATTAATCAATTAGTTTGGCTTGTTGGTGTCACAACTTAATTAACCACTAATGTTAGAGTTATACGTAGAGCAAAACTGTAAGATTGATGGTGGTAAATAAAGTAAAGTTATTTACATCTTGATTATTTTTGTATGGAAAAGAACATTATTGGACGTTAAGATTTTAAGGCATGCTGATGATTAATATGGAAATTGAGCCCCCAGCTCCAGCATTAGAGTATAATTGATGTCATTTGCAAACGGCCCAACGAATTGAACAGGACCTGAATCAAACATAAAAGGATAAACATCAAACGCTAGTGCTAGGCAAGAAATATTTATAAACGAGTGAAATGCTTCAACTTTTATTGAGTACCATATAAGTAGTCGCAGTATATATAGGTAAATGATATAGTAACGGGGAAAGCCGGTAAGTCAGCTAAACATAGTATAGGGTGGTCTCTCCATGCTACAAGGTCACACTAGATTAATCTATACTCTCTTTTACTTTATTCTCCTCCATCTTCTTTCATCCCAACACATTGTTAGTGCATGTTTAAGGATCTTACAATCTAAAGCATATCGATTCTGACACACAAAGAGCAGAAAGTAGTGAAGTCATTTTATATTTTTAGCATGAGGTTTTTTGTTTTGGCATTTTGCTTACTAGATTTTTTTGGTTTTCTGCTTCGGGTGATTATCAGGAGGTCGGCTCATCAGTTTCATTTTGCTCCAGTTGATTATCATGATACTTCATTTGACTGACACAGGGTGGGTTGTCTGAGGGTTGGGAAGATTTTTGTTTTGTCCTTTCATCGGCAAGAAAAGGGTTTTGACCATGTATGTTATTAATCACAATTGTAAGCTATAAAGGGGGGTAAAAGGGAATCTACTACCTGGGCTTAGATATCGATTCTTAGCGGCCCAATCGTCCCGCAAGGATGCAAATTTCATGAATGGTGCACCTGAAATTTCAAAATTGCAACATACTGTCAAAATGAACAAGAACATCCCAACACTCTCTAAAGGGTTTTTTTTTTTCCTGGGGCATAGCTGTTTGCCTAGAAGCTCACTGTTAGTCTGTTGAACTGAAATGATCTGAAAATCAATACTTGAAATTAAGACAGCAAGCATTCAGATCAAGTACAACGTTGCAAACTTCTTTTACGTACCTTCAATTTCCACCATTGCCTTCTTAATTACAGGCTTGAACTTCCCTGGCAGAAGTTTAAACCAGTAAAAAATCAGACTGATGCTTGTGCATGTATGAGGAATATTATTTATATACATAAAGAGATTACCCAAGATTTAGAACTTAGAGGTTCATTCCCTCAAAAGAAAAGAAATTATAGGACTTAGAGGCACATCATCAATAAGCTTTACTGGGGTACAAGCTAGAAACTTGTTTGGTGGTGAAAATATTGGGACAAAGCAAACCAAACTTGCACTTAGTGACAATCAATAAGGGTTCCTGCAACTGCAGTTAATCTTTGGGTTATGTCAACAAAATATGTAGTGGCATATTACCATGTCTTCGCTCAACGTCCATTAAGGATGTTAATGCTGTTCCTCCAACAGTCCATTCATCAACTGGAGCAGTCAAATTACCCACCTGTTTATAAGATATCAATAAGTAAAGTTACTTGAAAAAAAGTATGTTGAATCTCATCATTATCCAACAAAGAGTTATATACAAGATGAATTATTAAAAGGTGAAAAATTAAAACAAAGAAAACAAACGAGGAAAAAGAAGAAGAAAATATAACACACCGAAGAAATCAATCCAGTTTTTCCTGAATGAAGGAGGACTCCAGTAGCATAACCCAAAGCATAACAGTAGTTGGCATCAAAGTTTGTTGGAAAACCACATCGACCCTCATAGCTATGAAGGGAAAGTCAATTATCATGTTAATTTGATACCATGAACAGAAACTCATAACTTCTATATAAAGTCATCAAATATGTGATCATAGTTATCCAGATAAAAAAAAAAGTACGCAGTATTCTTTACCCAAAGAAGTGGGGCTGTCCTTGAAAATGTCCCTTGTATGCACCTTCTTGCTTCCTTTGATCCAATTCAGTTTCCACCATTTGGATGAGCATTTTTTCTGTTTCTATCCTGGCAACCTAAACATATGGAATCCATATGATTTAAAACAATGGTTCCATTTTTGAGTAGGTAAAAGGTGTAGGCATTGGAGAAAAAGAGAAAAAAAAAGGA